AAAGCCAGACCTCTGCTATCATTCTCTTTCATAGCAACTTGTTTATCACCCTCATTGTAATTATTGCAAACTATAATAACTCAATCATTTATGTACACTTTTGAAATTAGATGAGATTTTAAAAGGTGTCCGATAGATGATTTACCTCTTTAAGAAATGTCTGGTGAAAGGCCATACTATTGCATATTATAGCAACATGTTTATCACCCTTATTGTAATTATTGCAATCTGTAATCACTTAATTATTGAAATACACTTTTGTTTGACTCTCCCTCTAGACTACAAGCTCCATGAAGACAGCACTGTGTGCCTGATTCACTGTGGGATCACCAGTGCCTATTATAATGATTGGCACATAGTGGGCACTCGGCCAATGTTTGACAAATATGTGAAATATATTCACCTATATTACAACCCTGAGCACCGGCTACAAATTAGAATGACTCCAGAGAGCTTAAGGTAAAATAGCAGTGCCCAAGCCCTACCCCCAGAGACTATAATTTAATGAGTGTTGTGTGAGACCCCGAGATCAGTCATTTTAGAAAGTTATTCAGATAATTCTAATGTACAGTCAAAGAAGAGAATCACTGCCCAAAATGAACTATGGGGGATGATGAAGGTCTTACTAAAATCCTACCTTGGGAAAAAGACTTCTCAGCACCAGTTTGTAAATGACAAGATGAGAAAGAGCAAACTGGCTGACTTGCGTGGGTTTCATGCAACAATATTACATGGAGAATGCTGAGGAATATGAGCTAAACTGGAGGCTGTGAGAGTGGAAGAAATGTCTTGTTCAGGAGGCAACAGAATATGAAGCCATAAGTATGAGCGAGCTGTGTGACTGAAGCCATTGCTGGCCTGGTCCAATGGGTTGCTTTCTTTCCTTTTCTACCTGCTGGGTCTGGCATGCACCACATCGGGAGACAAAAGGAGATGCCCATAGCAGTACTCTGGGCAGTGTGGAAAGTTCCAGATAGACAATTGGGAGGACTTCTTTTCCCTTCCCTTCCCTTTCCCCCTTCTGCATGCCCCAGGATGCCAAGTCTTGGGTGCCCATCCAACAGAGAAGTAGACAGTTGAAGAAATGACCGTAGAATGACTTCAGCACAAGGATAGGGGGAAGCTTAGGGAAGCTGGATGTGAGTGGGGAGGAGAAAAAGAGAAAAGAGGTCCAAGGAGGAAAGCATTTTTCTTCTCTGCTGACAGTGAGCACTGCCACCTGGGCAGCACACACTGGCGAGAGAAACAAGGGAGGAGAACCAGTCGGTGGAAGAGAGCTGACCTCTGGCGTCTCTTATTGGAATGTGACTCGTACGTGAAATAAAGGACCCCTAATGCAGTCTCTGGCCTCTGAGTATGTAAGGCATTGGCTCACATTTAGAATGTTTGGGATAAGGGCTACAAAACCCTACCCTTACACAATTGGGGCTTAGAGCCAGAGTCTGCATGGACATTACAACTGTGAATAAACATTTCCAAAGTTCCAAGGGCTTCTGGGTACCCTATGGGATTTAAGGGGAATGAGGAAGTCTGTGATTCCAAAGTGACCTGTTTATCCCCAGAGGTCACAAACTGTCAGTCCATCTCACCCTCAAATGTGTTTTTTTGTCGTAACAGTATTTTTTTTTTGAGTTATTGAACATTTTGATATTTAAAAAATAAGTATTTGCGGCTTAAAAAAACACTGGATGATCTAAAAACACTGGGCCTTTATCCTCTGCAAGACACAGATCTGGAGCTGGCTCCTTCCCTTCCTTTCTCCCCTTCTCTTCCTTCCGTGATTCACAAAACTTTATTGAGCCCAAGCTTTTACAACAAATTTGAGGGTGGGTGAGACGGAACAGAATGCAGGCAGAGGTCCTGATCGTTTCCGCATATATTTGTGTGCTCAGGTTCTCCTTGCATTAGACTTGGCCAAAGGCAGAGATAAGATCAGGGATTTGGATTAAATTCTGTATTCTCTGAGTCATCTCGCTTTTCAAATGCTGTTAGTTTGGTCGTCTGTCAGAACTGTCAAATAATTTGTCTTCCAAATGGGCTGTTCTTTGGAATTTCATTCAGAAGCTGGAGCGCTAGACGGCTGTGCTGCTAATAAGTTGTTGCGTCTCACCTTCACTCCAGCTTTGCTTTTCTCTGCTTTATGATGCCAGGTCAAGACTTCCCAAACTAGTTCTGCCTTTTCAGCTGTTTTCTGTCAAACACGAGCACCAGGGGGAGAGGGAAGACAAGAAAAGAAAAGAGAGAAAGGCCCACACCTTCCACTTCACTTGTAGTTCTCCCCGGTGGCAGCAATTGGGGAGTGTCCAACCTTTTCCACACTCACAGAAACCCCTCGTGGTGTCCCAGAGCCAAGTCCTCAAGGTCTTAAACACAATGCTCTGGGGTCTCTCCTCAAGCTTCTAGGTTCTGACAATGCCAAACTCTTTTGTTGGTTCCCCCAAGCCCTAGGGGTGGAAGCTGCTTTCTGACATTACCATCTTGGAGTTACCTCGGGGTCTCCTTTTTGTTTGTCAGTCTGCCAACACCTGTTGAACCAACTTCCTGTAGCTCAAACTTGAGCCAGCCTCAGAATCTCCTGAAGGGCTTGTTCAAATACGGATGGCCATCCTCCCCCAGACCCCCAAGTTTCTGATTCAGTGGGTCTAGGGTAAGGCCTGAGAATTTGCTGCTTTATCAAGTTTCCAGATGATGCAGATGCTGCTCATTTGGGGACTCCAGTCTGAGAACCACTGCTTTACATTCCATTCCTTCTGTTACAATCATGTGTAATGGTTATCAGTAAAACAGCACACCATCCAGATCCACCAGTTTGGTTTTGGATGTTTGGTGAGCAGAAGTAATCCCAACTCTCTCTTCTCATCTGGACCTTCACCTGTGACTGAATCACTTTCTCGTTCTGTCTGCCCACACCCTGAGCCTGTGCTCTTGGCTCTTCTGCCCCGATTGCAATGCCTTTGGCCTTCGTTTATGATATTCCATCCCACTCCTCACTGGCTCATGTCCTATTGCTTCAAAGCGCCTGTTCTGCCAGTTCCATCTCATCTGAATTCTGATTGCTGAAACCTGTTCTGTCTAGGTGACCAAGTAACTAGCTCTTTTCTAGGCTTGCTATTTCAAGTCAGCAAATTCATATTGAATTGTCCACTGTGTACAGAGCTTCATGCTGAACGCTTTTGTCAGAGATACAAAGATGTGAAAGACTTAGACTCTTCCCTTATAGGGTAACCATCTGTACAATTTAAAATGGTATTACATACTTGTGACAAATATAAAGAAATTATTAGCAGAATCTCCACTGGAGGATATACTTTGGTTGGGTGAATAATGTGATTAGCAGGATGTGGATGGGGTGAGACCCCAAGCAGGTGTGCACAAGTAACAATGAACAGAGGTTACACTGCAAGTGACCTGTTAAGTACAGGGCTTTGTTTTATAGAAAGAGATCTATACACGCTTGTGGCAGGGGTTGAATTGTGTGAGAGAAGGGAGTAGTGTCAAGAGCAAGAAAGTACCTTGAGCCTGGTGACTGGTGGCTGGCAGCCAAAGGGCAACTTCGAGAGAAAAAGAAACAGTCGAATAGAGATTTTCATTACATTGTTTGCTTTGTGTGAGTTGTTATCATTCTGTATCTCTCCATGAAACCATCAATAAAATTACTTGCCTCCCAGGAATCTGACAAAGTGTTGGATCTTTTTGCAAATTTAGAATGGGGTGAAGTCAGAGATCTCCTACAGAACAGCTACAGAGATCTCCTACAGAACAGCTACATATAAATTATAGGCCGGGCGCGGTGGCTCAAGCCTGTAATCCCAGCACTTTGGGAGGCCGAGACGGGCGGATCATGAGGTCAGGAGATCGAGACCATCCTGGCTAACACGGTGAAACCCCGTCTCTACTAAAAAATACAAAAAACTAGCCGGGCGAAGTGGCGGATGCCTGTAGTCCCAGCTACTCGGGAGGCTGAGGCAGGAGATGGCGTGAACCCGAGAGGAGGAGCTTGCAGTGAGCTGAGATCCGGCCACTGCACTCCAGCCTGGGTGACAGAGCAAGACTCCGTCTCAAAAAAAAAAAAAAAAAATAAATAAAATAAAAAAATAAAATAAATAAATAAATAAATTATACACATATTTTTCATTTTCTCATCTTTCTCCTTCTCCCACCTGCAGATAGTAAGCACCGTTTGGCACTGACTGGGTTTTATATTCTTTTCCATCAGCCCTGGCTATTGAGTAACACATGTTTATTGATGAACTAATTTCTGGCTTTAGAGTTTATCCTTGCCCAGATACACTTAGCATTAGGCTACACAAAGTATCTACAGACTTGAACATGGCTGCTCATACGTGGGAACACTGGCCCTTTACTCTTTTTTGATGCCATTTATTTATTTTTTATTTATTTTTATTATTATGTATAAATAATAGCACATTATTGAACACTGAGAAATATTGATAAGTATGAGCAAAAATAAAAGTACCCCATAGTGTCATGGGTCAGAGACAACCACAACCAACACACTGGAGTCTCTATTGTCTGTCTGTCTATCTATCTATCTATCTATCTATCTATCTATCTATCTATCATCTACCTATCTATTTCATATATATATATATAGTCCCCATATAGACATATAAGTATTTTATATGTATATTCTCTATATTTTATATATATGGTCAAATTAGGTTCACAATGTTTATATAAGTTTACATACCACTTTTTCCATGTAACTTTTTGAGACAAGCATTTATCCTCTTGATTACATCTTCAAAAATATAATTTAATGTCAGCATCATAGTTATTCATATAGACTCCCATAAAGTATTTATTGAATTCCCTACTGTTGAACAAGCGTGGTATTTCCACAGTTTTTGTTATTGTATATGATACTACAGTGTACATCCATGTATATATGTTAAGATTATAACTTTATATTTAGGTAGATCGTCTTTTTGACATATTGAAAAGCACATTTGTCTTCAGAGGTAGAATTTTGTACTTACCTGAAATGAAGCTCAAAAGGTACAACCCTAGGGGACCATGCAGAGTTTCAAAGGGTTTTCCAAAAGCATTGTACATGAAGAAGGCTGTCCCCACCATGGTTAACACAATAAGGATGGCAGAGAAGAGAATGACATTGACATGGATGCTTACTGGGATCGCTTTGAGCAAATCTGGAAAAACTGAAGATAAGACAAAACTAGGGTTAGAAGAAGTTTCATTAGCAGTAGTCTGCAAGTATAATTTTAAAAATTCAATCTCTCTTTTTAAATTTCAAACATCACTACAATCCTTCTGATGAATACATTCTCACTTACTAATTTACAAGGGGTTTACACAAAGGTTTAAAGATAGGATCATTTTATAGAGTGTACCAGTAAAAATCAGCAAAGAGGAGATTTGAGGTAATTTATTTTCTGAACTTGGTCGTATGTAATGATTTAAACAAATAAGTGCTGGCTTTATAACCCAATCTGTACATTTTAATAATCAAGCTTTTAATGACCTTTCTCAGTCATCATTTTAAAAAAATCTATCTTAACTTGCAATGATATTTTAAGTTTGGAGATATCTGGGGTGTTCAAACATCAGGAAGTTTTCATATTTACTTTGTTACAAAAAAATTGTTTCTAGTCTACACCAAGATTAAAGAATGGAGATATTTTCAGTCAACTTCAATATTTTAATGTAGCGCAAAGCTGTGGGAAAGTAATTTCTGGTACTATGGGAAATATTTCCACGTAGAAAACATGCCAAATCTATTTCTAGATTTTGTGTTCAGGGCAAGTTTTTCTTGTTTGCAGAGAAAGCAAAACCCTACATTTTAGGGTTTCTTTTTTCTGGTGAGGCATCAGCATGCTTGGCCTCAGCAAATCTGGCAGGACCAATCTGGAGAAGTTTAATTCAGTTTATCTTAGTTCTCCAAACATGTATCAAGTGCTTAAGTTATTTACTGAGCACCTACTGTGTGTCAGGCATTATTCTAGGTGTTGGAAGTAGAGCCATAAAACAAGATGGACAAGGTTCCTGTTGTCTCACAGAGCTTATAACCTAATGGGAGAAGACAGACCATTAGAAAGTAAACAAACAAATAAACGCGATAGCTTATCTCCAAAGATGGCCGCAATCAATGCTTTTCCCCCTTTTATACATGTGTCGCTTCTCATTTAAGAGGTAGAATTTTTTCCCCAATGCCTTTGAACTTGGATTGGTCTTTGATTGCTTTGACCTCCTGAATATGGCAGCAGAAGTACATTGTGCCAGTTCCAGGCCAGTTTGATAAGAGAACTGGCAGTCTCTGCTTTTTTTTCTTTTGGAAGCTTGAGTTGCCAAGAAGTCCAGGCTACTCTTCTGGAGAGAAAGGCTGCCTGGAGGAGCACTGAGGCACCAGACACACAAGGGAAGAAGCTGTCCTGGATGTCAAGCCCAGAAAAGATGACTCCAACCCAGTTGCTATGTAACTGTAACAGTTAGGAGAGGCCCTATCAAGAACTGTCCAGGTGAATAAGTAAATTTTTGTTTTAAGTCCCTGAACTTTATAGAAGAGCTGTTATCCAGTGGTAACAATGATAGAGGTGTAGAAATTTTAGGCAGACAGAGGCAGGTCCGTGGAAAAACCTCACTTTTGAGCTGAAAAGCCTGAAACCCGCAGCTCAAAGTGAAAACTTCCATCCTTATGTGCCCATTCTTTCCCAATTGGTTCTTTCTGAATAATGTCTTTTTACTAATAGAGTGTTGCGTTTTCCAAAATTATGTATGGCCTGCCCTACCTCCTATCCTCTGCCTATAAACACCCCAGACTCAGCCAGTAGAGAGGAGAAGTGGCTGGACATCAGAGAGAGGCAACTTGACTTCAGAGGTGGTGGCTGGACATTGGAAAGATGTGACTTGACTTCAGGGGAGAGTGACCTGCCCTTCCCATTCCCTTTTCAGCTTCTTCTCTGCTGAGAGCCGCTTTCATTGCTCAGTAAAATTCTCTGCATTCAAAATCCTTCAGTTCATCTGTGTGACCTCATTCCTCTTGGGCAGCAAACAAGAATTCAGGATGCACAAATTGTGGGTACCCCAAAAGACTGTCACCCTGGCCCTTTGCCCTCACTGGCAGAGGGCAGCCACCCCACGTGATGAAGCAAAAGGCCCACTGAGCTGACAATACACTGCTGTCTGCAGATGGCGGAGCTAAGAGAGCATTGTAACACACATACCCTCTGGGGCCCTGGGGTCACAGGCACCCCCACCTGGATGCTGCTGCAGGGCCTGCATGGAGTTTGCTCCTGACAGCACTAAAGCAGCCAGCTGGTTCCTGCACTCATTCACTCGTGGGGCAGGCTGAGTAAATGGGGCACCCCTGTTGTGAGTCCCTTGAAGGGGTCAAGAAAATAGCCTGCATCAACAACAAGATAGTTTCAGATAGTGAAACATATGATAGAGAAATAAAATAGAGTAATGGGATTTTGAGTGATCTCTGAGTGGATGGGGGTGGTCAGGAAAGTGACACGAGCTGACACCTGAATGTTGAGAAGGAAATCACCCCTTGAAGATCTAGGGGAAGAGCTTTCCAGGGAAAAGAAGCACAACTGAGGCAGGAATGAGCCAGTGCAGTAGAGCCTGGTGAATGGTGAGGAGGTGGAAGTGGATTGTTGTGCTGGGATCAGATTGTTATACCCACTGGATCCTGGCCTATTGACCATGGCAAGGAGTCAGCTTTTTATTCTAAATTTATTAGGAAGCCACTAGAGAATTTTAAGTAGGAGAGGGACATGGTCTCCTTCATGATATTAAAAAATCTTTCTGAATGCTGACTAGTGATCACAAGGGGGTGGGGAAGGACAAATGTCCAGAGATCTAAGGGAGGTTATTTACAGAGGTGAGAGATGGGGGTTCGCCTACAGTGGGAGAGGCTGTCAGATTTGGGATACATTTTAGAGATGGAAGATAGGACTTTAAAAAAAAAAAAGAGGAAACCAGGCCGGGCACGGTGGCTCACGCCTATAATTCCAGTACTTTGGGAGGCCGAGGGCGAGCGGATCACAAAGTCAGAAGGCTGAGGCAGGAGAATCGCTTGAACCTGGGAGGCAGAGGTTGCAGTGAGCCAAGGTCCCACCACTGCACTCCAGCCTGGGTTACAGAGTGAGAATCAGTCTCAAAAAAAAGAAGAGTCAAGGATTACTCCAAAATTTTTGTCCTGAGCAACTGAATAAATGGTGATGCTGTTAGCTGAGATAGACTAGTAGAAGAGACAGGCTTGGGCACCAGGATGGGAAGTGATGCAAGAGTTCTGTCTTAGATGTTTTACATTTGAGTTTCCTTAAAACCTCCAAGTAGAAATGTCAAATAGGATTTATGTTTCTGGAGGTCCAGGCAGAAGACTGGGGTGTTTAAGAGGACTGGGACTAGGGTAAGGCAAACAAGGTGCCTAGGGTGGAAAAGGTAAGGTAGTAGTCACTCTCCAGGGCCAGTCCTGTACTTACATGGGACCGATAAAGAATGTTTCCTTAAACTTTATGTGCTAGGTGCCTCCATGACCTCTCCGTAGTCCTAGCCCTGGTATTTAACCCCATTGGAATAGACATCCCAAGGAGATGAACCCAGGGAGAAGCTGCAGTTCAAAAGAGAAGCCCTGGAGCTCCCCCATGTCTACAAGCACAGAAAAGGAGAAAAGCAAACCAAGAAGAATGGGAAAAGAGTAATTTGTGAGTTAGGAGCAGACCCAGGAGTGAGACAGCAGGGAAGCAAATGGAAAAAAAATGTTTCAAGGAGGAGTAAATAGTCATCTGTACAAATGCATGTTTCATGGCCACAACACTCTACTCCTGACCACATGCTGGAAGGGGGCCAGGAGAGAAAGTTTGATTGGTTCAGAACAAGCCCTTCACCACTGCTGGGTGTAACTAACTAACTACACATGTACATACATGTAATAAGCTTAGTGCTGTCCAGTAGGGAGCATCCTCTTCGTAAATACAGAGGTGTTTGGATCCTGATGGTGTTTACCAGTGTCCTCACTCAGGAGTCATGGGCAGGTCATTTGACTGCTGAGTTTTAGTTGCACTACATTTCCTTTATCTTCTCACAATCAGAAAAATGCACATTAAAATTATGAGATACCATTTTCAACACATCATGTTTACAAAGATGAAAACATTTAGCAATATCCTGTGTTAGCTAGGGTACAGGGAAATGGGGACCCTTGTGCATTTTTCTTGGGAGTGTAAATTGGTATAACCTCCTTTGAGACAGCTGGGCAATATCTATAAAGCATTAAAATGCACATATCCTTTAGCGAAGCAATTTAACTTTCAGGATTTTATCCCATGAATATTTTTGCACATGAATCCAATAAAGTATTACAAGGATATTCATTGCAGCATTTTTTGATAATAAGAATAGGTTGGAAATGACGTACATGTTTAGCAGTAGCATATTCATATAATGGAGTATTAGCCAATGATTACAAAGAATGAACCAAATCTATAATAACATGTATGGAATTATTCATCGAAATGTGATGTGAGGTGAAAAAACAAGCCAAATAAATGAAGACATATGTGCACCATTCTGCTATTTGGGAAAAAAGCCAAAAGGGAATGTGAATAATAATAAATATTAATAATTATTTAAGCACTTATCTGATTTAATTCTCTCAACAGCCCTATGAGATAGGTACCATTACTAAAAACTGAGGCACAGAGGCCATGTACCATGCCCAAGATTTATACTTACTGGCATAATAGGAATTTGAATTCATGTTCTCACTCTTAACCACCTTGTTACAGCAGCCTTAGGGACTGGCATGTGTGTCTAGGCAGAGACTATTTCTACAAAAGTGGTAACATTGCTTCTGGGAAGGGAGACTGAGGAACAGTTAATCATGTACCTTTTTGTACTAAAATGTTTTTTTTCACTTTTCTGCAAGCATTGTCTATTCAATGAATACATAAATACTTTTTTTTTTAATAATTGGAAGGATAAATGAAGACATAAGAATTCCTGACTGTTATAGATTAAAAGAAATTTAAGAGACATATTAATAAAATGTAATGTATGGCTATTGTTTCTGAATCTGGTTTGTGATTTGAACAGACCAATTCTAAGGAGATGATTTTGAGATAGCGAGCGAAAATTGGACATGGACTGGGTATTAGATGATATTTTATCATTGTTATAGATTTTATTGGTTATG